TAAATTTATTATTGCCACACAAACAAAAACAGAAAAAATAGACAAATGCACCCACACGAAGATGAAACGTCACGAATACGTTTGATGCCACACAAAATAAATAAAGGAATGGAAAAATCATGGCAAAAATTATGTTTTCTATGGGAAAATAATTTATTTTTTATGGGAAAATCGTTGACGTTTCTCTTTTTGACAGTCGTACGATTTCAATTTTTTTTTCTTTGTTTTTTTCTCATTCACATTTATTTATTATTGCCAAATGACATTTAAACTTGTGGTGTGGAATTGATTTATTTACTTAATTTCGCATGCTGTGCAAAATTCATGAGAATTTCCCATTCTTTGCTATGCCATTATTTAAATTAATGCTGATTAAAGTCAAGAGAGCGGGTGGCACAATGATAAATGCGATCAGGCATATTTAAAGTTTATTAAAAAGTGATAGATGTCGAGATAAAACCACAGCTTGACAGAAATATATATGTACAGATTTAAAAAAATACTGATTTTTCGGTGACTTATAGCATATATCTTGCAAATTTGACCATTTTCAATTATAATTCCCTCATGCAATTTCCCCCCTGGTTGTCATAAAAGTTAACGGTCTCGCATTATTTTTAATCTAAAGTGCAAAAAAAACTAAAAAAAAAACGACAACAGCATAACGGAAAGCAATAACAGCTGTAATCACGCTGCCAGCCACCATATTGTTTTTCTCTCAATGTTTCCCCGTCGCAACATCTTGTCTCTAAGTACAGTGGGAGACACCCGCACAGGTCTTAATAAATGGAAGATGCGCTGACACCAAACAAAAAATATGTGCACATAAATGAAAATGAAAATAAAAGCCAAAACGTGTTTTGTAAGACTTGTTAGTGTTTTATTTTTCTTTTTCGCACTAATAATGTGTTGGTGAGCACCATCTGACGGTAAGAGCTACAATAAGGCAATAAATGCGACTTTAAGCAGATTACAACTAAATTCAACAACTACAACAACGTCTTCAGTTTGCCTTGACCATTTCCATTTCCCTCCATACTTTTCCTCTTAAGGCCAATACACTTAAATCAGTTCTCACTCCACTATCATATGTTCTTGATATACGTGTATGTGTGTGTTAGTGTGTGTGCATGTGTCTTCTTTACAATTTTTGTCAATTTTTCTATCTCTTGCTTCTCTGCCTCTCTCCCTCTCTCTTGCTTTGGTTTGGGGCTGTCAAAATGACATTGCTGTAAATTGACATTGCAGTTGCTCGGTTGTGGTTGCTGCTTTTGGCATTTAAACTAATCGCTTGGCCACTTTCGGCTGTCATGCGTCACTTTGGCATGTTTCTCTATTTAGCCGCACAACACTTCCCGCTGTTTGCCTCCTCGCTGCTCTGTCAAAACTTTGTTTGACAATTTCATTTTGTGTGCCGGAAGGAGTTTCGAATTTCGCGCGTTACCTACAAGACTTGTTGTTTGTTTCTTTAACTCATCTACCATTCTTTATTCTTTCCGTGGCGCCATCTTTTGTTAGCAGTCTACACTACAAGCAAAAGTAGCATTTTCTTTGTCTTTCCAGTTGGCAGTCCCTGCATGTATGTTCTGCTGCTTGCTGCCTTATCTAATCGAAAGCTAAATAAATGGAAAAAAAAGGTGGAGACCAGTTTTAAGCTGAAGTGATAATTGTGTTACTTGCAATATTTGATGCATTGTTTATATGAAAATCTATTTTAAACTTTAATTGGTAATTTAAATAATAAACGGGAAACAACAGTGAATGACTTCTCTTTTTCTCTTACTAAATATTTCTTGCGTTTTCCTACCAATCTTCGCAATTGTTGATGTGCTGTGACTTTGCAGCTGCTACTGCACTAGTCGCTGCTCTTTGCTTCTGCACTCTGCCTCTCCCGCAGATCCACACGTTGCGCTGCGTTGCGCGGCTGGCGGCATATTACAAAACTTTTTACTTCTTCCACTTTTGCATTTTCATTTATTTCGCCGCTGCCTCTCATTCACTCTCAGCCTCTGTGCTCAAGTGGAAGAGGTTGAGCAAGGAACAGGGGGGCGGGTGTCGCTTTTGTTGTTATGCATATCGCTTCACTTTTAGTTTTTGGCGAAATTTCATTTCGTTTCCTTAACAAAACTTAACTTTGAATTCTGCTTTGCTTTCTGTATTCTGCCTTTGAACTTTCTGTGCAAGTTTTGTGCCGGACACGAATATAAAGAAATAAGTAAACCGTCAATAAGTAAACGCAAACACACACAAACACTTTAATATTCGAAGCAGTTGGCAATAATTTGTGTGCATTTTATTCAGCCATTTTTTGTGGTTGCACTTGAGCGAAAACTTTATTAATAGCTCAAGCTTTGTAGAGCAAATGCAAAAAAAGTTATGAGAAATGTAAAGAGAGCAAAGAGTCAAGGCGAATAGCACTTATTGTTGGGCACAGTTTGAGTAAGTGCAAAGGAGAGAATGTGTGCCGACAGAGTGGGAGTTAAAGAGCAAAAGACTAAGAGAGCGACGAAGCGCATATTAGTTGAATATTTCAGTTGAATGTATGTTAAACAAAACCATATATGCAGCTATGCATATATTGTAACTGTAAAAAGGGTTGGATGAGCGCGCACTTCATATACTCAATTACATAAATTGATCATTCTAACCTCTCAGGAGTTTTACTCTACTGTAGACCTACACACAGACACACATACATATGTTAGAATATCACACAAATGGAGTTTAATCAAGCGGCTTTTGTTGTTAGCCTCGGGTCAGTCGGTGTGCCACGCCTCTAACGCAGCTGGCAGCGAGTGGAGAGAGGGAAGGGAGAGAGCGCGGTGCAGCGCAATAGTTAACAGCATTGTTACACTTTTAAACGGTATTTTCTTGCTTTTAAATATGCGGCAAGAGGTAGTTGAACCAAATGTAGTCGATGTCGCCATCGATGTGGATGTAAATGTGGATGTGGATGTTGACTCCTCGTCTGGTCCAGTTCTGGTTTTGGCTTTGCTTCTGGTCTGGCCTGGTCGCTTGGTTGGTTGGGCTGCACTGCGGTTCATTAGCGCACCAAATGCGATTTGGACTTTTATGCTGCGGCCTATCCAACAGATGCAAGCGTGGGCGGCGAGGAGGGTGGGACCATGACAGTGGTCGATGTCGCGTCGCTTTGGCGTCTGCCTCTAGAACTAGAACACATGAGCACGTAATTTAGTAGCCGCTTTAGCGCTTTTGTGTGAAAATCACAACGACAACAAGGCAACAGAGATAGCGGGACAGAAGAGAATGAGAGAGAGAGAAGCGAAGGGTAACTAGGAGAGGGAGAGCGGAGCTTATTCCTCTCTTGCACATTAACCTATGCGCTCGCTAGCTGCCTGGCTGCTTGTTTGGTTGTTTATGGGCAAGCGCCTCATTGGGATCACGGCCGCTTTCTGCGTGGGTCCGGTTTTTGCCGTTAATTCCTTTTTATTAATAGCCAACGGACACAAAGGCAAAAAAAAAGAAAAAAACTCATTTTGTTAGCTCGAACGGGAAACCTAAACGTGGCTGCGGCCATGACGCAAAACTAATCAGTTTTTTTTCTTTTTTTTTTTTGGTCTCTAAATGTAATGTAATTGCCTAGCGAAATGGAGCCTAATTTGTTATTGTGCGACTGGCAAAGAGAGAGGGAGAGAGAGTTGTATACAACAGAAAGTTGGGATCGTTGGCAAAGGCAGGCAATCAAATGGTGTTAAGGCAAATAAATTCAATAAAGAGCTGTTTATGGAGAATGAATGCTAAAAGTAATATTCAATTGGGATTACTTACGAAAAATTAGCCAAAACAAATAAATTTATTAAGCAGCTGTGACTGAGAGAGCAAAGTAAGACAAAATAAAGTTAAGATCAATTATTCGGAAAAGACCCAAAAGCAATGTAGAGGAAACTAATTAAATCCAAGGTTTAGGCTCTATATTAAGATGAAATATAGAAAAAGCCATAAACATTGTTTAAAAGTTAAGAAAGATCTTAAACTAAAATTTGAATTCCTCGTATTCCTTAACTTCAATGGTTAAGGAATACTGTCGCAGCAGAACAAAGCTAAATTGATTAGATAGACAGAAATTGATTTAATGAAATGTTTATTCAATGTTGAATCTGACACTCAGACTTTAAATAGTTATGTGTTATATAATATTATAATAATATAATACACAATACGAAACACGTAATACGCAATACGAGATACAATTTCAGCAAATGAGGGATTGTGCAATAAATAAACGATGTAAAGAATCAATTGAGGTATACGTAATACGTTATTCGCTAATACGTAATATGTTATGCGTTACACTCTATACGTTATACGTGATATGTTAAACGTCACACTCTATACGTTATACGTGATACATTATACGTAACACTTTAAATGTTATACGTAATTCGTAATATAAAAACGTAATACTTAAATCGTAGTTCGTAATACTAATTCGAAATTAATCAGAAATTATTAATAAAGATGATTCATAAATATAGAACACGTGACATTCTTTAATGGAAACCCAAGACTTTATATGAAGAATCAAAAATGTAATCTAATAACTGATCCATAGAGCCAAGAGACTATATTAGAAAGAATAAAGAGAAAATAATTCACAAGTGAAATACGACAAGTTATGATAAGATAAAGCAGACAAACATGTCAGAAAATACATAAACAAAATTTAGGAAAGTGAAGAAATACTCCAAAACTAATTAAAGTAAAGTTAGGATCGTTTACAAGGGAAACAAAGTTAAGACTGCTGCAGCTGATAATGCTGAACTGTTGGTAGAATCTTCAGGCCATGACGAATCGCATATCAAGCACCTGCTTATCGCTGTCAGATAATTGAGGGAAACTCGCAATAAATCATATTTAATTAAAATCAAGAAATGTTTTCGAGGCACTCGAACAGCGTCTTATCAGCAATAAATAAATAAAAAGCGCAGCGTTTAGCCATTTGAATTTATTAATGCTGCCGATAAAAACTTAAAAAATACAATATACAATACACAGTCAAAAAACAGGGGTGAGTTTAGGAGGTGTTCAGAGTAGCAGGCAGAAGAGCAACTGCAGCTTTACTCAGCATCGCTGGCGACGGACATGTCGGGCACCAGGGCGGCGACTGCTTGGAAAAGGATTGGAGTTTGAGTTGAGACCTCTTAGACGAGGGCTGGTTAGGCACTTACCCTTGTCCTTGCCTTCGGAGGCGGCAGACATATCGGAAGCCACAGCGGAGACTAAGCCGGAAAAAGATTTTGAGCGGAAATCTTTCAGAAAAGGCAAAGCTAGAAACTTACCCTGATCCTCGCCATCGGAGGCCACGGACATATCGGGCACCTTAGCGGCAGCTATTCCGTAAAACGAGTTTAAGCTGAGGACTTTTCAAAGTGGATTTGCTAGCTACTTACCCTGATCCTCGCCATCGGCGGCAACGGACATATCAGCAACAGCAGCCTCAACCTTGGGGGCTAGGGACATGGTCTATGGTTAGAAACAAATCTGCTCCAAAGATCTGGGCTCAATAGACCTACCTTCATTCTGCTCAGCATCGGCAGCCACAGACATATCGGGCAGCTGGTCAATGTCGGGGTTGTGCATCTGCATCTGCTCGCTCATGAAGTGGAAGGGAGGCACATGGCGCTTGCCGGACTGGGCAGTGGAGTCGGCATCGTTGGCCACCGACATATCGGGCACCAGATCCACATTGTCGGCGTTCTCAGTCCTGGGCAGTGCAGCGCCATAGACGAGAGGCACGAGCAGCAGGGCACAGATTGCGTAGTATTTCATTGCGGAACCTCTATTAGTTAACTAAACGTGCCAGACGATCGAGAATCTGTTTATATATACTGCCAGCCCACAGCTCGCGAGCTATTGTTATCGAATATTAATATTTTAATTTACGATCTGCTGCCTGGTGCTGTTGTGTTTGCTCTTCAGATAAGATTCAAGTCTGGCATGTATTTAGGGGCCTACTATAAAACTAGTGTATATACCTAGCTATACTCCCAATATGTATGTAAATAATGCTGTGTCGTGTGGTTCACACAAAATCAAGTGTGTTTTATATAGGCGTCGCGCTATCGGGTCTGCTGATCGTCAAAATGGGAACTAGAGGCTTAAGTACCATAAACTCATAACACTTGCTGAAGGACAGGCAACTGATCATGGCTCATTAGCATAGCATAGTTTAGCTAAAGTCACACGATCTCGTATAATAAACTCAACGCAACTTGAATCTTGAATCTGACTAAGCATCAGCTGTTTGTAGCTCCCTGATCATTGATCTTAAAGGCATAATTAAGGACTCCATTGCATAGGTCAACTAAATTTGATGTAACTACTGCTTCTTGAGCAGCTTATGCCTAAAAAATTGAAATCCAGCAGCTCAGTAAATTCAACATGCGAAAATTCGTTTAAACAAATAGATACTTTGAAGACTTAAAATGTATTTTAAAGGCTTTCTTATCGCAGTGAAGTAACTCAAATTTATACATAAACTAAGCATCTTCTATGCGCTCTGCAAGTTGATTAAGCAAGTCCTTCTGTAAGAAAAGTTAGTTAACAATCAAGTTGCCATAGTAAAGCTCATGCTGTGGTCCGCTTATGCATGCGTGTGTGTGTATGAGTGTGTGTGAGTGTGTTTATGTGTGTATATGTATGTGTGTGCATGTGTATGTGTACTATGCATGTACAAAAGAAACGTAGCATGATTGCAATAACAGCTTTTGCTGGGGTTCAGGGTATTTTCTAGTCAGGAAGTCCCGACGAGACCATTCTAAAATGTGATTTTTAGATTCAAATATCTAGAAAAACACACCTAGTAGGGCTTTACATTTGAATGTCGCACATTAACTATAGTTATAGTTTTTTCTATTGATCTGTATTATTTGTTTGCTAAGGGAAATGACAAAGATCAGATGTTTCGAGCTCCTTGATCACTTAAGAACTCGAATATTCTATCTATCCATCTCACAAAAGTTATTTCCCAGGCTGCTAGCTCTCCTCCTAGTGATCAATGACTCAATTATCAGTCATATAGTCAGTTAATATCGTCATCTTCCTAATGTCGTCCTCGCTTCCTTCACTCACTTTCTCGTCTAGCTTTAACCAGCAGCTGAGCCTTTGGCCTACCTGCGTTACGTTGTGGTTTACCTACCCCAAAGCACCAAGAAAAACCGTTTTTCGCTTAACAAATTTACAATTTTATTGGAATATAGTTCAAGAAAAAAATGTATATGTCTATAATTAGGTCTTTGTGTATTTATCTTCAAGAACTGAAGGCATATTCGAATCTCGCAAGTCATTAGCTTGACTCATTTATATATGTATGGAAATTATATATAATAGAAATTAAGAGAATAGTTTTACTGTTAGATTCATTTTCAATTTCGAGTTGTTGGCACCTTTATATGCCCAGTATATCGTCGACCTGCTCGTCGGGGTCCTGTGGCTCCCGCTTCAGGCGACCCATGTCGAAGTCATCCGCTGCAATGATGCCCGCCATGTCGGAGTTGGGCACGGCTGGGCGTGTCTCGGCCAAGAGATTGGCCACATTGGATCCTGGCGACTGGACGGCTTTCACCTGGCCGCTAGCTGGGCTCACCTGTGTGCGAGCGGCGGGCGAAGTTGCCTTTGACTGTGCATTGCTCTTCGCATTGGCCACGATCATGGCACGTTTGAGTGGCGAGTTGGCAACTGTTGAGATGTTGTTGCTGCTGCTGCTGCTGTTGCTGCTGCTGTTGCCGCTGCTGTTGCCGCTGCTGTTGCCGCTGCTGCCACGTACTGCCGAGGGCGTGGCAAACTCGTTGAAGGCGCTGCCCTGAATGCTCGAAATCTGCGGCGTCTTCTGTGGCACGGCGCCCGCTGCATTCGGCGAAACTTGCCGCTGGCTGCCATTGGCGTTGACGCGACGCATCAGCAGACTGTTGCCCGGCGCAATGGCTGCCATCTGGTTTGTCGGCTGAGGGCTGTGCGAGTAACGCGGCCGCTGTGTTGGAGCTGCCATGGGCTGCGCAGCTGGCGGCATGCGTCGCTTGAGCAGAGCCACGTCGATGTTGGCGGCATTGGCAATGGAAGTGGCGCCGCTCAAGGAGTTGCTGGGACCACCGCCGCCACAGACCGAATATCGTCTGCCCATTTGACGCACCAGGATGGGCTCCTTCGAGGAGCCAGCAGGAGCGTGCGCTGCCTTGCCCGCTTGAGCCAACAACTGGGTCAAGGGGTCCGCACGTATCGGTGGCTTTGGACTGGTGCCGGGCACAACGAAGGTGCCGTTCCGACCCGCATTGCCGCCCAAGGGAATCGTGCTGGAGCTGCTGCCGTTGCTGTCGATGCTGTCCTTGCGCTGATCCGACAATGCGCCCACACCAGCCACGATCTTGGCATGGCTATTCATTGGCATGATGCGATAGAGTTTCTTCTCCTCGCCCACAGCTGAGGTTGTTATTGTGGGCCTAAAGACGCGTTGCACTACGTGTGGCGGCTTGACAGCTGCCACGCGCTGATTGGATGGCGAGGTAGAGTCGGCGCCAGGTGGATTAGCTGTATGCTTGGCGGCGCCCACCATGCTCACCAGTTCCCGTATGAGACGCAGCTCTCCGTCGGTGACATGCTCGAAGCCCGATGGCGTGTTGATGTTGAAGTGCTGCACCTCGCCGCTGGCTGGAAAGTCGGTGGCATCGTCGAAGATCTCGATGAGCGCTTGAAAGATCTTCTGCTTGAAGTGCATCTTCTGGCGTGGATTCATCTCGCGCATCTGCGGCCGCACCATGTCCAAGAAATGCTCGTCCGAGAAGATGTCCTGGCACTCGGTCTGATTGCCCCGCTCGCAGCGCTTGATCAGGGCTATGGTGGGTGGAGTTGTGCTCAAAATGGGCGAAGCGGTGATCGATGCCGTCTGCGTGGCAAAGCTTAAGCTGGGACTGGAGCTGGAGCTGGAGATGGAGTTGGAGTTGGCTGTGTGGGCCATGCTGCCGGCGCTGCTCACCGAGCAGTTGGTGGTGCTGATCACCAAAGTGTTGCTCGTCGAGACGGCGCGCTGTGGTTGTGGCTGCTGCTGCTGCTGGGTCGAAGTCTGCGCGGTGGCTGCCAAGCTTGTTGCGGGCGACTTGAAGCCATCGATGGCCGGCGCTGGCGCACGCTGTTGCCCGGCGTAATTGCCTCGGGGTCCAGGCGGTGCGGTGCCAGCCAAAAGGCGTTTAGCACCAACAGCTTGTGCGCTGGTCGCAATCCGCGGTGGACCCGGAGGACGCCCGATGCTATATTGAGGACGTGACATAGCAGCGTGTGGCTGCGACACCTTCTGTGGCATCGGCATCGAAACGCCTGGATGACGAGCTAGCACCACCTGCTGATTGACTGGAGCTGCGGCTCTTGGCCGTGGAAAGATGTCGTCCCGCGAGCCAGCCAAAGTTGCCTTTGTCACCGGCTTGTTGGCCGCCTTTGGCTGCGCTACATTTGCCGGCAAACTGGGCCTGGGCAGGTGCGTCATTTTGACCGGCGACGTGGAGCTCAGCAGGCTGTTAGCTGCTGCCATGGTCATGGACTTGCGTCGCTGCAGACGCGTCAGCCGCTGCTCGGCTGTCTTCTGTATGGGTAGCTGCTTGATGCGACTGGCGCCGCGACGCAAACGCCGCGGGCCTCCCATGCTGGCGGTCTCATCGCCGCTGTCGTCTGCCATTGAATCGAGCAACGCGTCGCTGCTCGTCGAGGCGGGCGGTTTCATGCCAATGATCAGGCAATTGGACAGATTATTGTTGCTGTTCTGCTTGATAAAAAACTCCGGCTTGGAGCTGCCAACAGTGGCAGGTGAGTCTACGGAGGATGTGGGCGTGACAGTACCCTCAGATCGAGCCTTTTGTTCGCTTGATAAATTTTTATCCTTATCTTTATCTTTATCTGTATCTTTATCTGTATCTTTTTCTGTATCTTTTTCTGTATCTTTTTCTGTATCTATATCTTTGTTTGACTCTGTATCTTTAGCTGTCTGTTTGAGCTTGGCCAGCGGCTGCTCCTCCACTGCCTCAGCAATGTCCTTTTGCTTGCCTTTATATTCCTCAAGCGCTGGCTCTTTGCTCTTGCTCTTGCTATCTCGCTCACGCTCGCTCTCTGGCGACTCTCTGTCCCGCTCGCCGATCGCCAGATGCGAATTCAAAAAGTTAAGCGCTTCGGCCAAGTAGAAACTCGGACGCTTCAGCCCTTTGCGGTGACGCTGCTCATCCGATGATATCCAGCGCACGTAATCGTTGCGTATCTGACGCCAGCGACGCTTGCAATGCTCCGCTGATACAGAGAGTGGGAGAGAGAGGGAGATATATGTAGGTGCAGCAAAATTAACAGACAGAGAGGGAGAGAGAGGCAGGTAGTTAAACAGTTGTCGGAGTGGGTGGGTTTTATCTAGCTACCTGAGCTTAGAGTGCTTCAAAAGCAATCAAACAGATGTTCAGCTTAAGCTACGGCCATAATATTTTAGCTCTAATCCTAACTCAATAAGCGTCATAAACCTTCGAATTACTCAAATTTCACGCTTGCCAAATTTAATATTTTATGTTTTAATTACGTAATATTTTGCGGCTTTAAAAAAAATTTTACTCTTACTCTTTTCACTAAGGGAACAACAATAAGTAAAACATAAAAAAATATATAATAAATCATGGTAATAGAATATATAAAAATACCCTCACAAACCTTTTATACACTTTTCGCATATTTATAAAATATTTATAAAATGGAAGTAAAATAGTTATTCTATGAAATCGCAAATCTGAACCCTTTTTAAACAAATTTGCATATAAAAAGTTAATATATTTTTAAGTATAAACAAATAAGTGTATAAACACATATATTGTTTATATTGTAAAATCTAAAATTTAAATTGAAAATTATATTAAATATTAAATATATATTAAATTTTAATTTAATTTTTAATTTATTTTAATTTAAATTTTAAAATATGTTTTATATTTTAAAATTAAAAATTTTAATACAATTTTTAATTTATTTTAATTGGAATTTAAAAATATATTTTATATTTTAAAATTAAAAATTTCAATTTATTATTTAATTGCACTAATTTAAATTCAAAAATTTCAAATTGATTTTGTTTATATATATTAAAGTTTTTATATTAAATTAAAAATTATAAGTTTTTTATTCACGTGTTTATGTGTTTAAATATTTGTTGATTTGTTATGCAATATATTTATAAAATAATTGTTTTTCTTACTTTTATATTGCGAATTATACAGCTCAACTTTCACTAGATTACTGATTATTTCAACAATTCCTAAATAGAGTTGTCAAGTCGGGGATAAATAGAGTTGTTTTGTATTTATGAAGTTATATCAATACTAATTGAAATTTGATTTAGCTAGCTTCACAAGCAAACGATATGGGAACAGACCATAATAGATTATGATAAAAAGTTTAGATTGACAGCATGGCAATCGATATTTTTTAATGGCTTAGTGCGAAAAACTAAGTCGATTTAAGACGATTAAGTACCATATCTAGAAGGCTAATAATTCTGCTGCTAGTAATATTTACGAAATATGTAAATAGAATAGAATTTAGATAATAATCTAAAAACAAAGCAGGTCTCAGAAATACGCGTCCTATATATACCCATTTAGAAATTCATTAATTACACAACAAAATACAGTTAAGAAAATTTAAATAAAAACATTGCATCTTCATTTATATTTATATTAATTATTTAGTCAGGTCTATATGTCAACAATGTGTTTCTAGAGGCTATAAAGTAATTGGTTAAATGTTATCGAAGTTTTTTGATTGACAATTATCAATAAGAAAAACTTCAAAAGCTGATTTAAATAATACAAACAATTTCTAGGATATACGGGTGATAAGGGGAAGTGATCTTTAAAATGTTCTAATCAGTTCATGTCCTAAATCTGGTAGCAGGATATAACCTTAATAAACAGGACTATATACTCAAAGTGACGCGCAACAATACTTTTTTAATAACAAAATAACATATTATTCGTACTGAAAGGTGTATAAAAAGTCGATCAAATTGTACAGATCACAGACATAAAACAAGAAAAAAAGTTAAGATTTATAAATATATTCATACTAAAATAAAATTGACTGATAATGAAGAAAACGTATGTATTTAAAAGAAGCAAACAATTTTTTCACACTTACGGAACCCCTATATTTTACTATATATAAATGTTTATTTCTTTTTACCTTGATATTTGCACGACGTTTAACTGTGAACACTTTTTTATATTTACTGTCAAAATGTCAAGTGAAAAAGTACAGTGCCGACCAATTATATATAAATCGATAGCTAAGACTTATTACAAAATATCGATAACATTTTCCAAAGCAACCATGTATTTATCGATTTAAGTTTAAGCTGAACGAGAGTATTTACTATAAAAACTTTAACTTATTCAATTCGTAATGTACAACAAAAAAATAAATATATAAAAAATAATAATTTAAAAACCTTTATAGTTTTTAAAAATAAATGATAATTATAGCAATAAAATTATGATATATTCGTAACTGAATTCATATGTTCCCAACTAGACTTTATCGAATCTATATTTGATAAAGTTAACTTCGTTAATTCCAATTTGAATGCGCATGTTAAATTTTGTCTTTTAGCAGCACTAGATGTGCTGCCAACTCGCGTGCAACAGTTGCACGACAACCGATACACGATAACGATAAACGCAATTGCGCACGCCTCACTTTGCAACACTACTTACCCGACTCTCCCACCTCTGACGCGACCAAATCCCAGCAATTCTCTGATGGCAGTCTTTTTCTATAATTTTGATTATTTTGATCATACAGTATGGGCTGACTCTCAATAGCGCGGCACAATTTAACATTTGATTTAAATGCAGACATGGCTTAACCACAACACGCACACGCCAGCGAGCACTTTCAGTTGCGTTTATATTTATTTAACTGCAAATACAAATCGGACGAGAAACTTGCCGACACCAACACGCGTCGTATGTAAAACGAACTGACACAGCTGCGAAAATGACACACACACACGCACGCAGCAATATATACATTTGCACGTACATTCCAATAGAGAGCGCGAGAGTGCCGAGAGAGGCGAATGCGTTGGTGTTTGTGATACGGACGCAAACTGAATTGGCAGGCCAAACAGGGAGGGTTGCATTGTTGCTGGCATCGGCGATTTTTTACGATTGTTATTTCTGTACGAACAAAGCTTTAATGGAGTTTGCTAATATATATAGTTTTTATTTTACTTAGAAGCGTACAAATGTTACTTTATGCATGGACAAAATACATAATTAAATTCAGCAACGCTGTTTTAACTGTATTATCAAGCTGTACAAGACCAGGGCTACTTCTTACAACCATTTCTGCAATAGTGTTTACCGATCAGACATCACTGCCAGCTGTTATTGTTATTAAGCGACTCGCTGTAGCAACTACTTTCAAGCTGGCAATGCCGTCGGTTCTCTTTGGGAGAGCAGTTGTCAGTGTGTGCGAGAGCAGTAGCGTCGTGTTATTTGCTAATGTTTTAAGGGTTTACCGTCACCAGACTTTAGTGATCCCCTCGTGTTCTGTTTATGCCAACGGCGCCTATGTATCGATTGAGTTGCTTTTTGCCGGCAAGCAAGCTGTTTACGACAATATAAATACATACATATGTATGAATGTATGAATCATTTTGAATGCCAGTAAAGTTCAGTGTGTAAATCATGGATTAAATGTCTTTTCTGGAACATAAACTTAACTGCTGATAGTTGAACATTCTAAAAAAAATTAAACACATTGGCGTTTCATTTATTGTCGCATTTTCAATTTTCTTATCAATGCCTTACAACAGCAACACCGTCAGTAAATTGCTGAGAGCGAGCGCGAGAGCAAACGTTAACCCAAATAAACTGTAAGAGTCTGTGAGTGTGTATGTGTGCGAACGAAACTCAGCAACAGCAACAGCAGCAGCACCAACAGCAATTTCACCGCGACAGCAACAGCAGCAACAGCGGCAACAGCAACAGTAACAATAGCAGCAGCAACAACAAAGCCAGTGAAAAGGCTATAAACGAATATAACCAACTGCAGGTAGGTGAGGGTAAAGCAAGCAAGCAAGCGACGCGAAAGCCAGCGAATTTCAATAAATATAATTGTTGCTGGCATTCAACAGAAAACGCGCCAAACAGCTGTTGCGCCCTGCAGGCAACAGAAATTTCCGAATCAGTTTCTGCATCGACGTGGTACAACACGAATTCGTTTCTCTTGTCACCTGCGCGCCACGGTTTGTTTTGGCCTGCGTGTGTGTGTGTGTGTGTTTGATATGTGAAGGGAGAGAGAGTGAGAGAGAGCGCAGAGCGCAGAGTGCGACGCTGACAGTTGTTGCTGTGGAAACGGACGCAACCAAGTTGCAATTTGGCTTGGAAGTGTGTTGCTGCGCAGTTGACGAGTCGAATAATATTTGTTGTTTTTGCTATTTTGTAGTGCACGCGGCAACATCTGCAGCAGCAACAGCGATAACAACAATGAACACACGACGCAGCACGGGCAGCATAAAGACAAGCAAGAGGAGCATCAGTCGCTTGTATGTGGCGACGCTCACCACAAAGACAATCACACCAGAGCTGCATGCAGTCAACGCCAAGATCTGCCGCCTTGTGGAACAGCATCCCTGCATGTACGATCGCTCGCATGCGGCGTACATGCGCAAATCTCATGTGGAACAGGCCTGGGTGGAGATTTCCAAGCAGATGAACGATACAGGTAATTGCCGTCTGTGCCTTATAAATGTTGTTGTAAGCAACTATTTGTTTGCAGTTGACAATTGCAAAGAACGCTTTAGGAATATACGCACCAGCTTTGCGCGATCCATCAACGTGCAGAGGGGCTCGAATCGCGTCAAACCTTACTATCTCAGCGAGGAGCTCGAGTTTCTCAAGAAGCACATTACGCCCGGCGTGCCTGTGCCCGTGAAGGGCAGACGTTCGCGGGACAGCAGCAATCGCAGAGGCGATGAGAATGACGAGTATGATGACAACGACGATGAGGACCATGTGCGTGCTTTGGTTCACATCAAGCATTCGCTTAGCAGCGACGAGCACGAGCACGAGAATAGTACGGATAGCTCGGAGTGGGTGGCTGATGAGCATGCGCAGGAGCTTCTCGCCAGCCAGTTGCAGAATAAACCAGAGGCTGAGTTCTACTCACAGAGCGACGAAAACGAACAGAAGCCGAAAAATCTATTGCAGCCGAACGCAGTGCCTCAAACTTGCCCCTGTCCGCCTAAGAAGCGACGACGCATCGTCGCCGAGCTGGCCAAGCCAAACGATGTAAGCATATGAATAAGAAAAGTATATGTTCCCTGTTACAGCTGCCTCCCAACTCTCTCACCTTTCACAGCTGCCAGCTGCCATTGACGCAGACACAGATGAGCTCAGTGCGGATAACAAGCCCTCAATTGCGGACTTCGATGATGCCTTTCTGCAGGGCCTGCGTCCCGAAATGAATCACATGAACTTTCATCAGAAGCTTTACTTCAAGCGACGCGTTTACGAGCTGCTCAGCGAAATATTTGAGGGCGATGAGAAGGCGGACAGTCAACGACGTACCAATGGCCTGGCCGAGCCCAACAACTCCACCATTCCTGTGCAGCATCTGGGCCTGGTGGGCCGCTCGGGCACACTACAACTGCCCAAGCTGGCACCCAAACCCTCCAAAGATCTCTAATTAGAAATAAAGCTGAATCGCCTAGAAATATGCCCAAAGACGGCCGCAGCTGCAGACGGCGCTGTGTTATCCATTTCGAATTTACGCTGTACAGTAATTTCCACATACCCATTACCACTTGGGTATGGTTGTAGTTGTAAGACGTTACGATTTTTAAAATGTAATATTTACATTAAATACACATATTTTCATATAAAACATTTTTGTTGTTTGAAGTAGGCAAAGGGGAATCTGAGTGCAAAACTTTTTCAGAATATTTGTGTTTGGGGGCAGGGAATTTTATATTTGAATTATAAATTATCTTATATACATACTTCTCATATATATTTTTATCATTGAGATTGTATGGAAGTCATCTGGTTGGTGGCACTATAAATGACACGTAGTCAAATAGGTCTATGGGTATTTTTGAGTTTAGTCTGAAGAGCTCGAAATACTTTTACAGTTTTTATACCCTGATACCCAAATGGTTTTTTTTTTAATTTTATATTCTCTAGGTGGGCTTTACCCTTGGCTGACCTATAACATTTTTAAGTTTACCTATTATTTATACTTCCATTAAAAGCGCTGCTAAGCTGTTAATAAAATAACGCCCAGCTCACTCTAATCTGATTTGGCACAAAAATTAAATTTTTTTTGGTTTTGCTAATCTCAAATTGAACTTTGTTCAATAGAAAATCCGTTATATATTTCTTGCTATATTTTTTTATAAAATAAACTTGGTCTAATATTGAGTCATGTGGACATTGCCTCTAATTTAAAATTTATTTATCTCGGCTGAATATATTTCAAGTCTGCAGTCCTTGATTTTAAACCAAGCTTAGAATAAAAAAAAAGTTGCATACTTTTAGGCTTAATCAGAAATGGAAATTTAAAATTTTATTTTGAGTTTTTCTCTTACAGCTAAGACTTGGCAAAAAACAGCTAAGTTAATAATAATATTACCATTTTATTAACAAGAAACTTTAAAGTCAACCTTTATTAGAGGCTTGTCTACATTTGCATATTGTAAACTTTTGCTGCTGTAACATGTGTTAAGGATAGAATCAACTATAATTCGCCTGACAAACTTCATAAAGCGTTGAAGCTATAGATGATATAGACTTATCCCAGTTGTAGGTTGATCTTGAACTATCTACACTTAAATCTATGGAAGAGTTTTTCCCGATCAACTATATGCAGCCTACACAAAACTAATATACTCTTTTCCCCTTCATAAATACAAATAAGATTGCCACACGTGAACATTTCCCAGTAAAAAGTCATTTGTAAATATTGATAATTTGCATAATATGGTTTATTTTATTTATATATGCATATATATATATATAATTTTTTTTTTAGCAAATACTTTTGTAAATGTAAACATTGATTTTTGTTTGTTTTCGTTAAAACAATAAAATAATTATTTATATATCGTTCCCGCATAAATTATGGCATAAAATATATAAAGTATTATTTATTTAATTTGAATTTCTTCAATTTTTTTGTGTGCACTCAGAAATCGCGTGTAAACCAATAATATGTATAAGAAAATACCACTGTTACAAAAATTTCCATTTCTTTGCATCGTTTTAGAGAATTAAATACGTAAATTAGTTAAGATAGTTATGTACAATCAAAGGATATATAAAATAAAAGTATATATATATATATATATATATATATATATATATATATTATATATATATATATTATATATATATATATATTATATATATATATATTATATATATATATATATTATATATATATATATATTATATATATATATATATTATAGAGGACGCAGCCTCAATTCAAATTAGAAAAGTTATATCAATTGCACTTTAAATTATTTAAATATATATATATATATATATATGTATATATATATAGCTGTATATATGATTACGATTACATGTATAAAGATCGCTCTCTAAATGCAGAAACAAAACTCTTCTCGCTTACGTCTAAAAAATTGTGGCGCATTATCATTATTAAGTTATTGGCTTATATAGAAGTTAGGCCAATGTAATTTTGACCGGTCCCAGCGGCAGCTGCTTCATATAGTTCCAGGCATCGACGCGCGTCATTCGCGCCGTTGAGGCACCATTAATGCTGAGGATCTCGTCGCCGTTGCGCACCTGATTGGTCTTCTGGGCAGCACCACCTGAGTGAGAGATAGAGCTTAGTGGGTGGAGTCTGGATGTGGAGCTGGCATTTTACTTACCCATAAACACCTTCTTGACAATCAGCGGACGATTGCCCAACGGCGAGTCGAAGCCACCTTCAATGGAGAAGCCCAGTCCACAGCTATCTTTGACGATTTCCACGCAGCGCGCGCCAGCGCCAGACGCCACATCTTCAGCTGCAATAGCAAAGGGTTATTAAACACGATCCAATATACTATCTAACCATAGATCAATTACCCTGCGCACGTATCTCGGCTGCAATGGCATGACGCGCCTCTGCAGCCCGCTCCAGCAGCTCACTGGTGCTCAGCTTAGCTGCATCTCCTCGAGACAGCTGACGCCTTGCGCGAATGCCCGCAATGGTGACGTCCGCATCATTGCTGTTCGTCTCATCCAGCAGGCTGGCTGGCTGCTGGGGACTGCTCGTGCCCGTGCTGGGTGTGCTCGGTGTGCTGGGCACTGTGGCATCATTGGACACAATGTCCAGATCCAGATCGAGCGATCGCGATGCCTTGTGGTAATTGCGTTTACGCTCGTAATCTAGTTCAGTTGGCTTCTCATTTAGTGAACTGAGCGAACCCAGCGAAGAGCGTTTCTTGTTTAGAGTTTTGATGACCAGCGATTCGGAGCGCGTGACCACGACCACGACTTCCGGACGAGGTGTCTAGGGAAGCAAGGAGAGAGATGGAGAGAGTAAAGATTAGGCTGATCTAGAAAATAGTTAGATATATTTACACACACACACCTTTAGCACGCTGATCGATTCACGATGAGTTAGGCCACGCATGCTCATGCCATTGACGGCCAAGATGCGATCGCCCTTCTTCAAGCGTCCGTCCTTGGCAGCGGGCGTGTTGCTCAGAATTTTGTGGATCTAGCAAAGAAATGGAGGTAGTATTAGAAGATATCATATCTATATAATTTGAGCATTTACTACTTACGGTTATTTCCTTAGCCTCATAGTCGGAGCCACCGGCTAGAGTAATGCCAATGCTGCTCTCTGGCGTATCCCGCTGCAGGACTATGATGAAGGCTTCTGGTGTCTTCAGTGGCGGATCAGCCTCCTCGACAATCTGTTGCACATCTTGTGCCGTGATCAAACTCTGATTGCTGCCCAACGATGAGAAGCTGCCAAACTCTGTGGCCGTCTCTTGGGTGGTGCTCACATTCTGTGTGGTGGAGCTGACGCCCGAGGAGCTGGAGGCCAGCGAGTCCAGTGAACTGAAGCGTTCATGATGTGGCTTCGCATTGGCCAAGGCGACCGTCGTAATGGCCTTGTGCACGGGCAGCGGCACGGGCGGCGTGGCAGCAGCTGCAGCAGCCGCTGCGCTCCTCTCAAACTTCTCGCGCAGCTCAGCTGTGGTCTGCGACTTGTTGGCGTTGCCCAGCTTTGGTGTCTGCGTGCGCTGTGGCAAGGGGCAGATGACAGGCTTGGCCTGCTCCACACGCTGCTTGGCCTGCTGCGCGGGATCGGCCTTAAAGCTGGCCTTGCGCTCCTCATCGATGAACATGGCACTGATCTTGGCCGGCGTATCTGAGCGCCGGCTGCTGTCGTCCGTATCCGAGGTGAGCTCCACATAGGCAGCCACATTGATCAGCTTGTCCACCACCAGTTGCTTGGTCAGCAGCTGATGCTGCTGCTGCTGCTGCTGCTGTTGCTTGTAGCTAGACTTGAGCCGACGTCCATTCAGGACGCAGGCCTCACCATCGGTGCTATCGTTGTCGTTGTCATTGCTGTTCTCCTGTCCACGGCTCTTGGCGCTGCGGCACTTGGCCGAAGCCAGGATGCTCTTGCGATTGCTGTTGGCCAACTCGTTGCTGTTGCTGTTGCCATTGACGCTGCCATTTAGCTGGCACTTGAGCACGCGTCTCGTCAGATCCACGGTGGGCGTGCTGCCCAGCGAGCTGCAGCTAGCCTGCGACCCAGCCGAAGAGCCCGACGTCAACGTGGAGGTGTTCGAGCTGGCTATCGAAGTGTTTGTCTCCGAGCTGAGCGTGCGTGTCAAGGCGAATTTCTCTGGCGGCGTGGGCACGCGCGCTGTATTGGAGAATACGGAATCTGTGTCGCTTTCCTGATCAGCGAGGAAATTCTGCTGCACCTGCAACTGTTGCTGCTGGCACGGAGTCAGTCGACTGGGCATGCTTAAGGCGCTGGCCAGCGATGTCCTCGGCGGCTTTGCTGGCGGCTGCGACAGCTGTGTATCCAGCGGACGACGCTGTGTGGCTGTAAAGAAGCTGCGATAGCTGCTGCCATTTATGTTGCTGTTGTTGTTGCTGTTGTTGCTAATGTTGCTGTTGCTGATGATGTTGCTGTTAGCGTTTCGCAATGGACGCGTCTCGCCTAGGCCGCTGTCCGTGGAGTCTTCGCCGCTAGCCGCCTTCACTTGACTCTTGATTTCGGGCAGATCCAGTATGGGCTCCAGCAGCTGTGGCCGCTCCGGTATGACTAGGCCGCGCAGCTTGGACAAGCTGCGACGCCGCTGCTCCAATATGTTGGTGATGGCCGCCTTTCGTGTGGCCGCATCGCCCTCGCCCGAGAAACTGATGCGACGCTCCACAGCAGATGCAGAGACGCCGCCGCCACTGCCGCCATGAGTGCGACGTGGCAAGGAGGCATAGCTGTAGCTGCTTCCGCTGCTGCTGTTGCTGGGCGTGCTCAGCGTGTGCAGCGAGTACATGGAGTCTGCCACATGCAACTGCGGCAGCTGCTTGGCCAGCTGATATTGACGCTGTGCATCGTTCAGGTTCTCCACGCTCATGGCGCGCGTCTTCAAAGAAGGCGCTGGCGTGGAGGAGGCTGCCTCCAGCAAATTCTCACTGCTCATATTGAGCGGCTTGCGAGAGAAAGTGGAAGTGGAGCTGGAGCTGGAGCTGGTTGCGGTAGGAGCTGGCACAATGGCGTCCAATTCGTTGCTGGATGAGAACATGGCTATTTTGTCGCGCACCGATTTTTCAGACTTTTCGTCTTTGCGCCAATCGCTGGGCTTGCGTGGCGCACTGGCGCTCAAGGAACGTTGATAATCGCGCAAGGCGCCGCCGCTAGATGGCGTTGCACCCGGACTCTCTGCGGCGCGTGCAGTTTGACGCGCATCCTCCATATTGATAACCAAATCCTGGCGATACATTTTACGCGGCACGGTCGGTGGCGGCCCCGTCTTGGGCAGCGGTGGTGCAGCCTCCAGTTTGTTGTTGCTGTTGTTGTTGTTGTTGTGCTCGAAGCTTAGCTTGGGATGCATTATCAGCGGCTCACTGAAGTTGGGCGGAAACTCATGGCCATCGGGCGGCAGACGTGAATAGGTCGGTGGGGAGGCGTAGCTCAGATAGTCCTGCACCAGCAGCTGCTTTGTAGTTGTTGCTGATACTGTAGTTGTTGTTGTTGCTGCTATTGCTGGGCTGCTCAGCAGCTCCATTTTGTTGTTGTTGTTATGCTTGGACTGCAAACTTTGACCAAGCGTTGGGCTCGAATTCGAAGTGGACGAAGCAGTCGAAGGGGACGTCAAGGTCGAAATCAGTAGAGGCTTCTTGCTGCCAGTTGCTGCTGCTGCTGCTGCTGTAGCTGTTGCTGTGATGTTAACTGTGCCGATGTTGTTGTTGTTGTTGTGGTTGTTAAGGGTACCAAGATCTGTAAAGGGAAGCGACAGAAAAGGGGAAAGGCATTGGTTAGCAAAATACACGAGGAGCAACAAGTGGATAAAACAAAAAGGATGTATTATTCAGTGGGTGGGCAGTTAATCGATAACTTTAATCATCGATAATGACTTGATAGATGAGTCCAATATACGATTTACGTGCAAATTATTGTAGATTCCGATTTTTATTTTTTAAGTGAAAAATATTTAAAAACTTTATAGGAGAGTACTAGATCGATAGACTTATCGATAAGTACGATAAATATCGAGAAGATGTAAAATACTGAAGGAGCAACATGTAAAGATGTCTATGGTAACTGTGGGTGAGTAAATACATTTATCGATAAATAGATTATCGATATCCGTCTATCGATAATTAAACGATATTTAAGAAGCACAAATGCTGATAAATTGAATGTATATTGAGAAAAGTTATGGGCATGTATTAGATTTTCAGTCTACAATCATAGAGTTTCGATTTAATTGATCGATAACAACAATAAATAGATATTTGTAATCTGATTATATAGTTCTCTCAGCTCATAATAGTTCTAGGAAGTTAAGGTTAAGTTAAGACACGCAACACAAATCGGAAAGGTTGTCAAAGGTTTCAAACTGCTTTAGGATTGTAAATCACTTGGATATTGTCTTTGGTCTTTACAGGTAAAATGAGTTCGAGTAGTAAGCTGTGAATTGAAGATTTGTGCAAGAGAATAAAACAAAGAGAAACAGTTTAAAAAACAATTTCCAAACTTATGTCTATTAGCCGGCTGCACAGACTATAATTATAATTATGCGTAAGCTGAAAAAAAACAAAAACAAAACGAAAAACTGAAAACTGAAAACTTTCGCCCAAAAAAAGCGAAACAGTTGTCATTATGCGCTAACCCCCCTTGGACCTAGGGCGAGTCTTACGTATAACCCAAGAGCAAATAAATATATATACATATAAATCCCAACTACTCTTCTAGCTGAGAGCAATTAAAAACCGCAAGAGCCGAAACATCTGCAGCAATAGACATAATAATAGCAATAATAATAATAAGTAGCTATAATAATGCCGGAGACAGCGGAGACTTAAATAAACAAATTATGGATAAGCAAAGCTTTGTCTTAGCCGAAAACAAAAAGCGAAAGTTTTGCTAATGAAGAATAGAAAAAGTTTTGGTTTAGGTTGACAGATTTTTTCTGGGTATTTAATATTTTTTTTTAGCAAATATATTGCGTATTCGGGTCAATCGTTAGGGCGAGTTGAGCACAAGTTAAATTGAAGAAGACTCAAGTCTTGACAATTTCACTGATTGAGAGAAGAAATCGTACTAGGAAAGCCGCCCACATATCACTCACACTTCAACGAGCCGCTCCATACATGAAAAAATTTGCATTTTTAATTAACCAAAACAAGAATCAAGCGAGAAAAAAGCGAGGCTACCTTTCATAAAAATGAAAACCGCTGCGTGCTTCTATTTTTTATTCTTTTCTTTACATACTATATATATACTATGTTGAAAATTCTTTAATTCTTTAATTTTTTTGCGGTTCGTTGTTGGGTTTTGTAACTGAAGTTCTTTGCGCAGTGTTAATGAACTTTTGCCCAGCCAAAGAGCGGCTAAAATGATATCATGTACAAATATATATATATATATAAATATATTTAAGCCGCATGTGCAGAAATTCAAGCAAAAAAGAAAGAACTGTTGAATGTTTAATATAAAACGGCAAAGCCCAAGGGCCCCAAGGGCGAATAAGCAGACCTAGAAAGTGTTTGCGTTTGTTTGAGACGTGTTTTTCTCAAACATTCCAAAGAAACCTTGAGGAATGCAGTCATATCGTTGGCAATTTCATTAATCAGCAATCGATAAGTGCAGTCAGTGTAAACATTTACTTATCGATGAGGCATATCTTCAACATATTTATCATAGATACATGATTCAGCGGCGAGTGACACAAAGTCTATTGAGCTCACTACGTCATGGCTGTCCACTCAGTCATGGCTATGATTAGATTCCGTGTCATTTCAGTCATGTCACTGCTTGTGAGAAGCGCATGGAGAGGCCTAACACTTCGCAGCCAGCCATTCAACTTAGCGACAGCTAATTGGCTTTCATTATGGCCACATAATATTTAATAATAATTCTTATTATTAATCTCAAATGGCCTTTGGGCGCCCATTGAATACGCTTAACTATTCTGATGCCACGCTTAATTAATCAAATTAGCCAAAGCTGGAAAAGCGTATTCCCTGAACCTCGGCGAACTTCAGACTGAGAGATCGAAGTCGCAGGCCTGCGACAGGCGGCAACAATTAATCTTCAACTCTCAAGTGTAACATGAGGCGCCCCTCTTGGTTAGGACTTTTGACATTTGGCAGCTGTTTGGCTTTTTCTTCGTTGTTCTTGGCCAAAAGCGGAGCGGAGCTTTTTATTATGCATATCGTGTTTGCCACCGATTCTTATCTAATGAATGTTTTATGTAAGCGCAAATGAAAAAAAAAATACAAAACAAAACAAAACAAAAATAAAAATAAGAATAAAACTTGACTTGACTCGTTTCGTTCGGGACACCTGCCACAATTTTATAATTTGTAATCTTTTCTGATTGCGCTTCCCTGGCTATATTTTTGGCAATTAAATAACACCGTTGCTGGAGCTCGCAACTCTGCAGAGCTAAACTCTATATATATATAAGTATTCTCTTGTATTTTTCCACCTTTAGCTGTCCCGCTGTGAGCTCTGAAACAGTTGGTCGACTGGCTACATTTAATTGTAATCTTCAGGGGCTCTGGGCGAATGTTCGGTATGTGAAAGGTTAAGAAGATTATTAGAGGTTCAAATTTACAAAAGCGAAAGAAAAAATTGGCAATGGAAGTTTGGGATTCGAATTGTGGAAATGAATGGAGCCGTTCACAACTCTTCTGAAACAATCAACTCGAAAGTCAGCTGTATAATTCTTGGTACTCCACATATATCAAAAAACGATTCTTGAAAGCTTCAGAGCGAGGCATTTCCGTGCTCGAGTCGACCGACGCTTTTGAGTACATGCCAAAGTGTCGTCTTTAATTAGAAGCGAGTGAAACCAAAGCGGCCGCCGTGTTGGGAATTTCAATGCTGAGGAACGCTAAGCTACGCTTTAAAGTTCTTTGGAACTGGCTCGCATAACTCGAAACTTGCTCTAATAACTTCCGCTGCTGTGATCAACATGCGACGATTATTGCATAAGACTGAACACTGGAACACTGAACAGTAAGCAGTGTGCACTGCAGCGCCACCTACCGCTGATAATTATAAATTGCATAGTCTTAGCTTTTCCCACAGTTTCCCCATGAGTTTTCACAGTGCTCCCTTCCATTTGGCTATGGAAAAAATCCTGTAACAAATTGCGCGCATTTAGCGCACAAAATGCCACTTAGACTTGCGCCCCTCTCTCTGCGATTCTCAACGTGGGAATTGCTGTTGAAAATCGGCTTGCGTGCTGCTTACCGTACGTAAATAATTGAAATTAATATAATATGTTTTTTTTTTCTCCTCCTTTCAGCGATTTCTTTAAACATTTTATCGCTCGCATTTTACTTGGCGGCGTTCCCTTTGACGTCCAAGAGACGTGAAACAAAAACAAAGGCAGAGAATAAAATGGTTAAAAAAATGCGTAGATTGGTAGCCCGCACATTTTTCTACATGGCTAGCATTCTGCGCTGATTCTTCGTGGTTTCTGATGGTTTTTATAATTTTTTTCTTTTTTTTTTGCTTCCATTCCATTTGTCCATTCACTCGACTGTGAAGCAGGAGCTGGAATATTGTTTCCAGCTTGAGCTGTATGGCATATTTCATTTTAATTATTTTATTAAAGCCTCTCAGCCACAATGTGCAATTATTTAAAGTGTTCAATGCGTCGTTTGATGGATGGATTGGATTGGAGTTTCGCACCACAACGCCCGAGGCGCCCAGCCCCCATCTTTAAGTCTCTCAGCACCCAGCTACACGCAACTGCCGTCGAGCTCAATGCATATTAATAAGGTTTAGCTAAGCAAACTCTTGCAATTTTCTGCTTGATCAGCAGCTCCTAAAACACAAAAGCAAATTTAAAGCTCGATAATTGCTACGCATTACGACAAAAACGCAAGACTTGCGTATTATATAGATGTGTGTTTATATTGTCTAGAAATAACTTAAACACAAGCCAAACAGCTGCTGCAGAAACAGCCTGTTCTTTATGAACAATAGTACCTATGTATATATATATATATGTATGAAGGAGTTGCTAATTGTAGTCGCTAGTTAATACCCTACTAAAATGTTACTACGATGGTAACTATACGCAGCATATATAGATATAAATAGATATGCTTAAATATTTATCGGATAACATATGTCTATATATTAAGATAAGTATAAAAGAGAATAAAATAAAATTTATATCTAAGAAAAATAATTAAAATAAAAAATTCTTTATATATATATGTGGTATGTAAAATAAATAAAGTAAAATAAATAATAATAAAATATACATACTAAAGCCAACATTAAAAATAAATAATATAATAAATATATAAATTATTTATAAAAAAATAAATATTCATATCAATAAATGTAGTTTGAATATTTATGGATGATAAAATACATAAACATTTTTTTGTATAATACTAAAAACAATTTTCTTATAAGAATAAAATTCTGAAAATATAAATATAATAACTATAAAATATACATAATTAATTTTTATATATCAAATTATATCTTATATATATATATATATATAAATATAAATATACATGTGAAGAAAAAAATAATAACACCAGTGACGCTTTTTCCTCTTCATAAAATGAAACTTTATTTTGAATTAAGCTAAGTGAGAACTTGCAATTTAGGGATATACATATATATATATATATATATATATATATATATATATATATATGTATATCCCTAAATTGCAAGTTCTCACTTAGCTTAATTCAAAATAAAGTTTCATTTTATGAAGAGGAAAAAGCGTCACT